TGCTGGAATCAGAATTTGGTTCTAGCCTCTTCAAAGACAAAGTTCTGTGCTCCAACACCTCAGCTCGGTTACGACCATTTTTACCTAAAACACCTGCCACACAAGAATCCCTGCAGAAACACCAAGGCCTCTGTGCTGTGAATGACTTTAAAGAATCTTCTACTGTTAGATACTTAGGTTGAACTCATATTTGAAAACCAATTAAGGAATAAAACATTCTCTACTATGATGTCTGTTTCTGAACTTTATTTTAAATCACTAGTATTTTGGAACCAGAAACATAATGATTCACTTATTTAGCTTCAAATGCACTATAAAATGAAGCAAAGCAGGTTTCCCTTTATCACTCTCCTTTTCCAGAATTTTCCAGTTTTTGTGCACATTAATACATGATTTCCACTTGCAGCTTCTCTAATCCCGGTCTACAAAAAGCTGACACAGCAACCAAATGTAGCCTCTAAACAATCCCTGCTGCCCAACATTACTGACACCATGGGGTCTACACCCCGTCTCCAGCCTCTGTCTAGATATAAAGCCCTTTCCAGGGCTACGCCGAATGGAGCCTCTTCTCACAAGTGCATGTCACTGGGTCACAATGAGATGGAACCTAAGTGGAGATAAGAGGGACTGAGGGAAGGCAGGGGTGAGTGCGAGCAAACATGTCAAGCCGAAGGCTTCAGAGTCACAGAAGATTAGCAACGCCAGAGAAACAGTATCTCAGGAACGAAGGAGTATACACAGAGCAGTCAACAGAGAACATGACTTTTACCTGAGAAAAAGCCATTCCTGACTCCTGTTTCTTTCTGCTTCCTCCTCCTCTGGTTCCTTTCTCAAGCAAGAGCACTATTGAGAAGTCAATCTGAAATGTCAAACATATACTATTTAATGCTAAGAATCAACATACCCCTTCCTGTGGCACAACCTCATTTGCATAGAAAAGGCAAAGGGGACTCAGCTGGAGACTTCAGCTCAAAACTCATTAATTTAACAGACCAAACAAGTGAAAAAAAGAAACTCCTGAATATTAAACTAACTGATTAAACTAGGTTTTGACTACTAAAGCATCATCGACATTCTTACCAGATGCAAAGAGAAACACTGCAATATTATTTACCAGAAATCAAAGAATAGCTCCAATATATGATAAAAAGTCAAAAGTACTCAGACTGCAAAATCTGAAATGGTACAGTAAATTTAGGAGGGAAAATAATTAGGAATTATTTTTAAAAAATGCAATGAATTCTGAGATTGAAGTTAATACAAATTTGAGGATACAGCAAATTTAGAAAAGAATGATATGAACTGTTTATGGGATTACACAAAGGTCATTTCAGCAGTTAATGAATATTTACAAAAAAGCAGAAATTAACTAAGACGTATTTCAATAAACTTGAAAAAGATGAATTAAGTGTAAGGGAAGTAGAAAGAAAAAGTATTCATTGAGGAGGGAAAAAAGCCCACAATAACATCAATGCTCCTTTAAAAAGGCACCATATGATGACAGAGGGTTATTTCTTCCCCTATTTCACTCCCCCTCTCTCAGCCCAGGGAAAGGCAAAAGGGCGACCCCCTCTGCAGAACAGGAGTTGCAAATAGAAGTAATCTTCTGTGGCAAATAACTAGAAAAGGTACAAGCCTCATACAGCTAATTTTGCAATTCTCATTCTTTTGTGCATAAACTCAACAAAATTTAAATTTATAAGATTATAGAGCCCAAAATAATATTTTACAAACTAATCTTCCATATCCATTCGACTCAACACTCACTGGGTCTGGCTCCCCATCCCCTTACCCCATCACTGTTTTGTTCTCCCTGGATATTTCTCTCTTCTTTTACTTTTTTTTTTTTTCCTGCATTTCTGTTCCCCCTACCCCCATCTCCTCCTACAAGGTGTTTTGTTCCACTCTGCTGCAACCTATGTCCCCCTGTTCTTTCTCCCCAAATTTCCTAATTATCCCTTAACTCCATACAGTTCTGCCTCTTTTTCTCCCCCAACAAAATTCCCCGATACATTCCCCTTCCTTCAACTCTGGTCCTCTCATCAGGCTGAGTTCCACTCCTGCTCTGCTTCTGCCTCTGCTCCCTGTCACTCCTTGCATCCTCCTTCTAACCCAGCACATCTCTTCGTGTCCCACGGCTCCCACTCTTATTACACACCCACTCTGTCTGATGTATCGCCCCTCCCCCCCTCTCCTTCAATGTTACCCTTCATCTCTCTGGAAAGCCCCCTTTTTATCTAGATTTCTCTATTTTCTTTTCCTTCTGCTTCTTTCTCTGGTTCACTCTTTAGCTCTTAGTGTCTCTTCAACTCCAGCTGCTCTATCCTCTCTTTTACCCCGTTTCTCCCTCATTCTTCCTTTCTCCCTTACTGGGTTTCTCATTCTCCTTCTATCTCTGTGTCTGGCTCCATCCCCACCCCGTCCCTGCACATTCACAGGTACGTAATAAAGACGTCTCTTGCCCAGACGTCTCTTGTCCCACTTCCCAGTGGGACACTGAGAATGTAAACAGACCACAGCAAGCACAGCCAGTGAGATGCGATTTGTGCATAACATACA